TGAATTGAGAATTTAGGCTCTGTTCACATCTCATGATTTGGGTCATGGGTAGAATCTCTGCAATTCTGCCCATGACCCCAAAACATGAGGAAATTGCAGCACAATGCACCGCATGCATTTGGGTGCTATTATCCTTCAATGACACTCCAAATGCAATGCCATTACCTACCACAATTGTCACACGGCATGACCACGCAGCAATCGCAGCAAACTGTGCCTTCATAAATCGCTTTAAACTTGTCGCCCAATAAGTTGTGGGTGGCAAACATGCATAGGGCAGCCCATTTATGTGAGTGAATTGCCCTATGCAACACACAGAATCCATGTGACAACTGCAATGTCAAAGTTGTGTAGTGGGAGCGCTCATGTGAATGGGGTCTTAAAGTGTTGAAGAAAGAGGGTCAGAAAGAAAGTCAAGCAACTAGCATCTTCAGATCAAGATGCCAGTAATGGCCATGCATTTATTGTTTGTATTTCGAAAGGGAGGGATAATGTCAAAACTGAACAGTAATCACATAAATACATATAAACATAAAGTATTTACTTGTGAAAAGACAAAGTTTGTTTACCCAGTGTTGTGATTCATACAACCCTACTATACTGCATTGCCAGGCAGACAACACTACCATTTCTTGCTTCCATTTTGCAGGTTTTTTTGTGTCACCTGCCTGCTCATTAGTCAGTGAACTGGCACAATCACTCTGCTGTTTCATTGTCCAGGGAGCAGGTAGGTTGAACGGGAAGGAGCCAAGCTAAAATCGGAAAAAACAGTATTGGCTGTATGGCTAAGTTATGTGGCCAATTTGTTGGAAGGGAAGGATTTTGGCATATATGTATTTCAACTACATGTTTGACGTTCTACCCTTTTATTTAACACTATGCTTCCTCTAGTCATATTCTTTGTATGTGGTACAAAAATTACTTCCTTCCACCAATAGTTGCTGAATTTTGCTGTGGCATTTGAATGTCTGTAAACTATGGGGTATATCTGTAAGCAGCTGACTGGTTAGTAGGTGTCACTTAACATTTGGTCTCCCACTTGTACCAAGTGAAAATGCAAAGTTCATTCTATGTTAATGCTGGTGTTAGATGTCACTGTTACAGGCAGCTTCATGGCAATGTCTGACTGCATGTATCAGGTTTGTCTAATAATCTACAGCTTGGATGTGCTTGAGCAAATCTACATGACTGAAAGCAGGGATCACTGAGGAGATGTTTCTGTTTCTAGATAAAGGTCTGATAGACTACGAGGAATTACTACTCTCAGAGTTGTATTCTTCTTTTACGCATACGCTGCCTACTGACCTAATTGTCTAGTCAGCCTGAGTTCAAGGATGCCTGCTGCCATCAACACTATTTTGGATGGAGACAACTTAGATAAGATATTGACAGAATGTGGGAAACAAAACAGAGAAATGAAGATACTTACCTGTTTCTCCAGGATGTCTGAAGACAGTGCAAAGAACTTTCCTCACACCAAACGTGTGGGAAATTATCTGGTTGGGAAAATGATCAACAAAGGATCCTTTGCAAAAGTAATGGAAGGAATGCACATACCCACAGGACAAAAGGTAATGCACTTTTTACATTACATATGATAATTTGCTATTAGACTGGTGTGTATTGGATATACTTGTACTGAATAATTTGTTCCAAGCGTTCAATTTTTCCAGAACTACAATAACATTTTTTGTTAATGTTTTGGAGACACAAAAAATTGTGGTGGCCAGCAAAGTGCAGTACTATAATAATATAATGGTGGGACATTGTATGTTGGTACACAGTTTAGAATCAGTTCGGAAGCGCTATTCCATTTATATGCAATATACTCTATATAAAATTATTATTATCTCTCTGTGTGTTTTATCTGTGCATCATATATTGGATATCTGCTTGTTTGTATGGAAACATGGCAGAAACATTTTCAACAGTTTTGGTGTATGTGTGTGTGTGTGGGGGGGGGGGGGGGACTTTAGAGGAACATATAAAACCTGGCTGTTGAAAATGTTACATTATCTTACTTCAACCTTTACTTTTTGTTCTTTTTTCTGTCTGATATATTTGGAATCAATCTGTATCAAAATCTAGCACATTGGTATTGTAACATTTTGACAAAGATGCTAGTGTGCAACAGGACTGATGAAGGAATAGAAAAACATGCTATGTGTTTTGTTTTATGAGAAAGAAAATGCATATACAATGTTGTTGTATGACCTTACATATAAAACACTAGTCTGAAGCTCAACAGCAAGGCTAAAGTCAATATAGTAGGGTACAACATTGAATTTCAACTTAATAACAAGTATCCAGGACCAGCACTGGGAAATGCATCATGCTTACCCAATCCAAGGGTGGAAGGGTGGGATTTGAATCTGGTTGTTCAAACTTGGAATTCATTTTTAAATGTTAAACTCTCCCTAGTAACAAAGTATTTGACTCAACAAAAAAGCAACAATAATACAAAAGAAGTAAAGGAAGAAGGCACAACAACAAGCATAGTCATTACAGAAAATAAGTAAAGCTATATCAAATTTTATTTTATTCCATACATATTCTTAAATAGAGAATACAAGAAAGAAGTGCAGAGCAATTAGGTGATCAAACAGCTTTGAAAGAGCACTGGGGCAATCTTAAGAGGAGGTCATGCTCATTGATGAAGGAAGGCAAGTTCAGGAAGGTGTAAAGATGCACTATTACACTAAAAGGCCAATGTTCTCATGTAGCAAAGCAGTTTAAATATTTAACAATGGGTCAAACATGCAGTTGTGCTGACTAGTTCATACAAACAGACCAACTAAATTGACTGTATTAACTTAAAATGATGTAATCAGTGTAAATTCTTTTTACATTGAATACCTGCGAAATTACTTTGACTTCTCTGATTGTGATATTACATTGAAAAATTAAACTCACTTCCTAGCCAAACCTGATCCAGTGATGTGGACTACTCAGGGTGTCAAAACTCGGCAGGGTATCACAGCAATGAAACATTGATGCCATTTGACAACCTTAAGAGCTCGACATTATTTTTTTCGCATATTTGAAGCTCTAGCACTCCCAATTTTGGGACTTGCTGGTTAATCCTTCATCCAACCAAAGCAAAATGCTTCAAAGAAACATTGCCTTTAGCAAACCATTATCTACTGTATATAAACTATTGTTCTGATATGTAGATAAGGTACTGCATGGGTCAAGACCTCTCCAGGCCCAGGCAGTGGTGGTGTAGAGATAGATCTTTACAACTCTGGTCTCTGCAATAGATCAATTGAGTCAATATTCTTCAAATTCAAATTCTTACTCTGAATCTACCTAATACCAGCCAAACCTGCTAGAGTCTATACTTCCATCAATTGATGTGTTGGAAATGCTTCCAAGGCTAGGCAGATTTCAAGTATATGTTCTGGGACTGCCTTCTTGGCAGAAGATCTTGGACCCTGCCTCAAGGCTCCCTACAATTTTAGTGTCCAGGGAGCTAAACATCTATCTGCTTGGTCTGGTAGAAAACCTGGCTACTACAGTGGCTGAGGGAACTTTCTTGAACCTGTTATTTTTTTATGCTAGGAAAACAATCTTTTCCAACTGGAAGAAACTTAATCCACAACATTGAAGGCTTGAAAGGCCCTAATCAACATGTCTCTATATTTATATAAAGTTATTATATGAGCATGGTTAAGCCATTTAAATTCAATGGAGTCTGGGTGAGCTGGCTGGACTCAGAACATACCTCCTCCGATTAATATTAGCGGCTTATAGGCCTATAAGTGCTAGTATTGACACATTAACCACACAGAAAGGACAATGATCAACTCACAAGAATTAGAACACCTTTGAATTTATACATTTTGATAGAGGCTGAGGGAAGGTATATTGTTTGTACAATCTCAGGTTTGCTTGGGCATATGACGTAACCATGAACTGCTAACACCAAGCAAATGTCACAGTTGGATTGTTTGTCTGGTTTTATAGGTTTGCAACTCTTTATTCTCATCTTTGTTTCTGCATTAAAAAATAAAGTCCCACATTCTAAAATTATATTTTTTTAAAAACTACACATTTCATCTTGATATATATATACATTTAATTTAGTGCCAAAGAATTTTAGCTGGTGTTCAGGTGTTTATGAGATGTAAGAACTTTATTGGCAACTATGAGCCAAAACAAATGATGGTAGTAGCACAAACTAATCCACTATTTTCAGTCTCAAATTATTTTAGCACAAAATTCTTTGTAACACTTACTTGGATTATGTATTTTAAAAAGCAAGTTTAGTACAACACATACTTTATATATAAGGTCAAGTACCATTAGTCACTTCATCTAACTCAGTATTTTGGTGCTAGTAATGAAGATTTGCAATGTTTTTAGGTTTGGATAGTTCAGATATGAACATCAGGTTACAAAATTTTCTATCACATAAGCTAGACCGTAATGACTTAAAAAGACTATATTTTGTATATTGCTGCACAGTAACAATGAAGCAAATAAAAAAAATATCACCAGTACATGGTAAAATTAAAGTTCAGAACCTGTTCTCAGAACTAAATTTTAGGACTGGGGATTAGATAACTTTACACTACAATACAGGGTTAACAAACATGTATGTAAGGGTTCCGTTATGCTGAACTGGTCAGTGACAGTTTGCATACAATTGTAATTGGCATAGTGTGGAAAAGTTCTGCCTCTGTAATCAAAGATGTGCTACGTTTGAGGTCAATTTACCTTGGCCAACATGTAAAGGGTCACATTTAGTTTTCTTTGTCTGAAACTAAGCAAATTTGAAAACTGGTGATGGCAATCTCATTGTTTGTCAGTGAAGAATTTTAAAGCACCAAACATGAGTCATAATTTAGGAGGAGGATAAATAAGCAGGGTAGGATTCATGATATACAGTAAATGTTTATGTCAAGAGCAGGGGCGGACTGACCATTTGGAAACTCGGGCACTGCCCGAGGGCCTGGGGTCAGTAGGGGGCCCCATGAGATGCCCGTGGTACCTTTTTCATAGGCTTTTTTGAGTTTGGGCAAGGACACAGGGGCCCCATGATCCCCTATTGCCCGGGGGCCCCATAAGTTGTCAGTCCGCCCCTGGTCAAGAGCTATCTGAGTTAGCAATTAAAATAAAAGTTAAAATATTGCATTTATAGATAGAGTCTAACTCTAAGATATGGTTAACACACCAACACAGGCATAGCAACTGTTTCTTTTAACTCTATTGCATCAATAGTGCATAATTATGGAACACAATTATGGAAGACTTTGGCCTCATTGTGCATATGAAGATAGGAATATCACTGATTTAGCCACTTCCCATCCATAGGACGTACCCGTTTCTCCTTAGATGGGAAGTGTGATATCTCAGTCATTGCTGCAGCTGCAGTGATGATCGAGATATAATTTTTTTAGAGCTGGCGATGCTGAACAAGGTAAAAGTAATCCATGCAGCTAAAGAGCTGCTGGATTACTTTTACAGGAGGCAGAAGGGGATCCATCCCCCTCCCATCGCCACCTTTACCAGGCTCTCCTGAGTGATCGTAGAGCCTCTCCAAATAATGTGACCAGTGGCATCCGGTTCCTGAGGCACAGTGAGAGGAATGGATGTCATTCCTTCCACTGTGTGATGTCAGAAACCAGAAGTGATGAAGATTTTGTCAGGTCTGGTTTCGGTCCCATGTAAACAAGTCATTACCAGATTGTAAAAGCATTGGTCTCTGTTTGATCTGATGCTTTGCAGGCCAGAGGAGACATCTGGAATCTCTCCAAAAAAAGGACCTGTCACAGCTCATGCTATCACAAGGGATGTTGTTCATGCCTTGTGATAGCAATAAAAGTGATCAAGGAAAACATTTTAAGTTACAGTGTAAAAAAAAAAAAAATTGAATAAAATAAATAATAAAATTTTAAAATTTAAAATGAGAATGCACATGTCGGTCCCATATGCATATGTAAATGGCGATTGCATAACACATATAAGGTATCGCCGCAATTCTCAGAGCGAGAGCAATAATACTAGCACCAGACCTCCTATATAACTCTAAACCGGTAACCTGTAAAGCTTTTAAAACTTTGCCTGTGGAGATTTTTAGGTACCAAAGCTTGGCACCGTTTACGGGCGTACGCAATTTTAAAGCATGACATGTTTGTATCTATTTACTCAGTGACATAATCTTTCATATCGTATCAAACAGTTGGGAATTAATACCAATAATGTACTGCGCTCCTACTATTCTACAATGATATTCACTATATATGATTAAGAAGAAACCTTATGATTTGAAACACTGGAAATTCATTTGGAACTTAATTACACAGACTTTTTTTGAGAAAATTTGGTATATGTGCATGCATATATCTGGAGTGTCGTACTTTGATTGATCTCTAGATCTTTATTTTATTTTATTTATTTATTTTTACTACTACAAACACATTGTAGAATAGTAGGAGCACAGCACATTAATGGTATTAATTGTATGCACATTAATATATGGGATTGTGTTTGGTTTTAGCAGCCTTCAAAATAGAAAAAAAAAATTGTATAGCAGATTACAAGGTTTTCACATACAAAATAGCTGGGTATTATAGTATGTTTTTGTAGATTGAAATGAATCAAAAAGTATTTTTAAAAATTTGCGTGTGAAAACCCGTTGCGAAAACACAGTGTGACATAAAATTATGCAAAACCCACCATGTTATTCTCTAGGGCCTCTACCCATACAGTTGCAAGAAAAAGTATGTGAACCCCTTGGGATTACATGGAGTTTTGCATGAATTGGGCATAAAATGTGCTCTGAACATCATCTAAGTCACAACAATAGAAGAACACAGTCTGCTGAACATAATACTACACAAACATTAGATGTTGCCATGGTTTAATTGCACATAACATGTAAACATTCACAGTGCAGGGAGGAAAAAGTATGTGAACCTTTGGACTTAATAACTGGTTGACCCTCCTTTGGCAGCAATAACCTCAACCAAACGTTTCCTGTAGTTGCAGATCAGACCTGCACAACGATCTGGAGTCATTTTGGACCACTCCTCTTAACAAAACTGTTTCAGTGTAGCAATATTCTTGGGATGTCTGGTGTGAATCGCTCTCTTAAGGTCATGCCACAGGATTTCAATCGGGTTGAGGTCAGGACTCTGACTGGGCCACTCCAGAAGGCGTATTCTGTGCTGTTGCAGCCATTGTTTTGTTGAATTACTTGTATGCTTTGGGTCATTGTCCTGTTGCATCACCCATCCTCTGCAGAGCTTCAGTTGGCGGACAGATGGTTGTACGTTTTCCTGCAAAATGTCTTGATAAACTCTGGAATTCATTTTCCCATCAATGACAACAATCTGTCCAGGCCCTGAGGCAGCAAAGCAGCCCCAAACCATGATGCTCCCTCCGCCATGTTTTTTGTTGGTGTGCTGTGCCTTTTTTTCTCCACACATAGTGTTGTGTGTTCTTCCCAAACAACTCAATCTTGGTTTCATCTGTCCACAGTATATTTTGCCAGTAGTGCTGTGGAACATCCAGGTGCTCTTTTGCAAACTTCAAACGTGCTGCAATATTCTTTTTGGACAGCAATGGCTTCCTCTGTGATGTCCTCCCATGTACTCCATTCTTGTTTAATGTTTTCCTTATTGTAGATGTGTCAACAAAAATGTTAGCATGTGCCAGAGATTTCTGTAGGTCTTTAGCTGACACTCTGGGATTCTTCTTTACCTCATGCAGCATTCTGCGCTGTGCTCTTGCAGTCATTTTTACAGGACGACCACGCCTAGGGAGAGTAGCAACAGTGCTAAGCTTTCTCCATTTGTAGACAGTCTGTCTTACCGTGGATACATGAACATCAAGGCTTTTGGAGATACTTCTGTAACCCTTTCCAGCTTCATGCAAGTCAACAATTCTTGATCGTAGGTCTTCTGAGAGCTCTTTTCTGCGAGGCATGGTTCACATCAGACAGTGCTTCTTTAAATCAGTAAACCCAAAACAGGTGTGTGTGTTTTTTAGGGGCAGGACAGCTGTCAGCAACACATCCAATATATCATCACACTGATTGGAGTCAAGGTTAGCTCACTCCTGGCTCCAATTAGCTCTGGGAGAAGTCATTAAGCTAGGGCCTCACATACTTTTTCCTTCCTGCACTGTGAATGTTTACATGTTATTTGCAATTAAACCATGGCAACATCTAATGTTTGTGTAGTATTATGTTCAGCAGACTGTGTTCTTCTATTGTTGTGACTTAGATGACGTTCAGAGCACATTTTATGCCCAATTCATGTAAAACTCCACGTAATCCCAAGGGGTTCACATACTTTTTCTTTCAACTATATATATATTATATATATAATATATTATATATATAATGTTCGGGGGTTCTAAGTGGTTTTCTAACAAAAAAATGATGTTTTGTACATGTAGGAGAGGAATGTCAGAATGTACCTGAACTGGAAATGGTTATATCGGGACCGTAATAGCCATAGCTCATCAACCCAAATGGCTGTAGGCATTCATTCTATATTAGCCTCTTATAAACAAATAAAAGACCAAATAAAAGAAACTATGAGATAATATGTTTCTATATCCTTATCCATTGTCTGTACATAATTTTTAACAGTCGGTTTTATTTTAAGGTGGCTATAAAAGTGATTGACAAAAAGAAGGCCAAACAAGACTCATATGTTTTAAAGAACATGAAGAGGGAGCCACGGATACACCAGATGGTTAAACACCCAAACATTGTGCAGCTTTATGAAACCCTAGAGACTGAAAACTCCTATTTATATGGTTATGGAACTGTGTGAAGGAGGAGACCTGATGGATAGAATATGTGATAAAAAAAAGCTAGAGAAAAAGAAGTAAGAAAATATGCAAGGCAGATCATGTCAGCAGTGGAGCACTTACATCGCCATGGAATCGTTCATAGGTAAAAAGACATGTTGAGCTAGTTGCTTTGGTTCTTTGTACTTTGATTGAATCATAATCATATTGAATAGCATAGAAACAAGGCTACCGCATTTATAATTAAAAACAATTCCAAAGAGTAACATGATGACTAATTTTTTTCATCTATATACCCTCACCCTTTTTTTTTTGTCATTTCTTCACACTGTTTTGCTAAAAATGCACCAATCAATAGATATATGAGAATAAAGATGCTTTTTAATGTTTTGACATTATCCAGTTGTAGCATGTCACACAACGTGATGCCCTGTCATAACATATAATTAAGTTGATTCTGATAAATCATTTAAATACCAGCTCACACACGGTATATTCCTCATTGTCACACTGCATGAAAGAACCTCTCCCTCACTGTTCATCCAAACAATTTTCCACCATCTCCTTTGACAAAAGCCGATCGGAAGATCACCTTTTGTAGAGTTGGTGTCAACAGGGTCACCCACAGCTTGATTTATAACAGATTCATTGGGATTCCCAGAGCAAAGTGGCATCCCAGAGCAAAGTGACATCTCAGAGCAAAGTGACACTGCATCTCTTAAAGAAGTATTGAATCCAAAACCAAATAGTTAATATATTACAGTTTACTAATCCTCAAATGTGGTGGCTGCATTAGTTTTCTTTTTTAAGCATTTTCTCTTCTGTTTTCCTCTGGTGATCCAGCCAGTAACACACCTCCTGTATCAGAGTGCCCCCACTCTGGAAGAAGGGGCACAAGAGCACAGCAGCATTGTCAGTCTGGGGGGGTGGGGAGTATTAGATGGACTAGCAGATTTAAAACACTAATATATTGAAGCTGAACTCCACACAACACGTTTTAGGCAGTTACAGAAAGAGATTTATTTTCTTTTGGGAAGTTTTTACATAAAATAAATGCTAAACATTGTAAGCACCCCTGTCAGTGGTAAATGATTTGTCTTAGCATTCTAACTGATACATCTGCAGGACAGCTTATTTTGTTGAAAAATAGCAGACTTACCAGACAGATCACCAGGTGAAAATTAAAAAAAGAAAGCCTAAAAAGAAACTAATTACCAATTAGGATTGGTAAGCTGCACTATAATAAATGTTTGCTTTTGGGTTTATTAATGCTTTACAATGTGATGACTGTGTTATGCAAAAGCATTGCATATGTGGTTCTAAGAAATAATCTATCTATAAGAATTTAGTTAATAGACCTGTTTATGTTTATCACTGTTCTCAATTGGGATTAGGTCTATACCGAATGCTAATTTTGGCACATCCAAGATCCAAATCTGGTTTGCTAAAATTATTAAAACTTTGGAGTTGATTTACTAAAACTGGAGAGTGCAAAATCTGATGCAGTTGTGCATGGTAGCCATGGTAGCCAATCAGCTTCTAACTTCAGCTTGTTCAGTTAAGATTTGACAATAAAACCTGGAAGCTGATTGGTTTCTTTGCTGACCATCACCAGATTTTGCACTCTCTCTCCAGTTTTAGTAAATCAACCCCATGGTATAATGTATAGATGGCAAGGTAAAAAAAAACATGTTTTTACTGTATTCCATGTTCAAATACATTTCAAATACTAATCCTGATTATTTTTTTTATCATTTAGGGACCTGAAAATTGAAAATTTCCTGTTAGATGAAAATGGCAACATAAAAATTGTTGGTAAGTAACTATTATCAAAGAACATTTTTTTCCTTTTTTTTCTTCTTTTCTTCTCTTTTCCTGTCCTTTTTCTATCGGATTTTGGTTAAAAAGTGAACCCACTGACCTTTATAGTTTTACTTGGTACACTCTGCTGTTAACATAACTCAGACTCTACACTTGCTGATAAAATGGCATACTCCTTGTTGAGGAAAAAACTTATTATTATCTGGAACAACGTTAAAGGACTCAATATCCCTGAAAAAAGGTCATCCCTACTAAGACAGCTTAGAAAAACTAAACCCAAAATAGTCTTTCTTCAAGAGACGCATTTTAAAACAAAATACTTAAACTGGCAGACAACTACTTTACTAAAGCTTTTCATGCAACAAACCCTCTGGCAAAAATGAAGGGAGCCACTATGCTGTTGAGCAAAGATTCTGATTTTCAAGTGGCAGATCAATTAATAGACCCAGACGGTTGATATGATTTTAAAGGCAAGTGTGCAGATCAATATAATAGACCCAGACGGTTGATTTTATGTTTTCCATATGATTTTTGCATAGTAAGTACAAGAATACAAGCTTGATATACAAATCTATCAGCCAAAAATATGTATAGACTATGAGTACAAAAGCCAGTACAACAACTATAATGGGAAAGGAACATTGCAGAAATAGACAGACATGTACGATACAACATGGCAGTAAAAAGAGCCAAACCTCAAAATTAAGCAAATGCCGAGGAACAGAAGCTTGGCTGTAGTATCCTGAACAAAAGTACATCTCTATCTGAGAAGACATTTTAGAAGGATTACCACGTGGGCTAGATAAAACTCAG